TCTAGTCCAACCTCTGCTCAACCTGGAGAGCCTATTCCATTCTGGACAAATGGCTGTCCAGTCTCTTCTTAAAAGCTTCCAATGTTGGAACGTTCACAACTTCTGGAGGCAGGTAGTTCCACTGATTAATTGTTCTCACCCTCAGGAAGTTTCTCCTTAGTTAGTTCCAGGTTGCTTTTCTCCTTGGTTAGTTTCCATCTGTTGCTTCTTGTCCTGCCTTCAGGTGCTTTGGAGAATAAGTCTGCCCAGGTCTTGTATTAGGGCAGCTGGTTCATTTGCAATGGAGATCAGCCAGCTGTTACAGACTATCAGAGTGGAAAAAAAAACCCCCTCATTTTTAAGGTGTTGATGCTGCAGTCCACACAAAAGCATCCTTGTCCAGTTTCTCTTGGCGCCCTTCACCGTGGAACTGCCCCATCTCTGAAGATGTTCTTCTGAATGTCCGTCTGGAAACAAGATCCTGGATTGACTCCCCCCCCCAATGTGGAAAGGGATCCATTGCAAATTTATCCTCCGTCTTTGGACCACGTGCACACATTATTTTAAACAGCCAGCGTGGAATAAGGATACGGGTGCTGGGCTAAGAGAGCAAGATGCAAGGAGACATCCAGAAAATATCCAAGAAGGCGTATGAGCTGGAAATCCAAGTTCTAGACCTCCCAGGGTCACAGAAGCTCCTTTGGGCCAACCCAGCCGGGTTGTTGTGTAAAAAAGGGGAGGTGAGAAGAAAAACATTGATAACTCTCAAAGCAACGTTTCTCAACCTTGGCAACTTGAAGATATATGGACTTCAAATTCCCAGAACTCTGGGAGTAGAATAGAATAGAATAGAATAGAATAGAATAGAATAGAATAGAATAGAATAGAATAGAATAGAATAGAATAGGAATGTAGAATGGAATAGGAAAATAGAATAGAATAGAATTGAATAGAATAAGGGATAGAATAGAGAAGAATAAGGGATAGAATAGAAATAAGGAATAGAATAGAATAGAATAGAATAGAATAGAATAGAATAGAATAGAATAGAGTAGAGTAGAATAGAGTAGAGTAGAATAAGAATAGGGAATAGAATAGAATAGAAGATGGAATGGAAGGGAACGGAATGGAAAAGAACAGAACAGAACAGAATAGAAGATAGAACGGAACGGAACAGAACAGACTAGACTAGACTATAGACTAGAAATAGAAATAGAAATAGAAATAGAAATAGAAATAGAAATAGAAATAGAAATAGAAATGGAAATAAAAAATAGAAAATAGAAAATACAATAATATATAAACAGAACAGAATAGAAGATAGAATGGAACGGAACGGAACAAAATAGAACAGAACAGAACAGAACAGAACAGACTAGACTAGACTAGAATAGAATAGAAAATAGAATAGACAAAATAAAATAGAACTGCTTGCACAGCTCTTCAGGCTGCTTCTACTGCCCATGGCAGGAGGCCTCGTGGCACTTTGGGCCGTTTCCACTGCGGAAAGGGCCCAAAGAGCACGCAGCGTCCTGCCAGGAGGAGCAGCAACGGCGCAATGCGCCACATGGCAACCGGCCGCAAGTGGCGGCAAGCGTCCCTAGAAGAAGTCAAACAGTGGCGAAACAGGTGTTGGGGCCTGGAAGGTCTGGCTGCGGTGGTCCTAAGGTAAGACATTCTCCGAAATTAAGACCTAGTGCTTCTTTTTGAAGGCTATATATATATAGCCTTATATATATATATATATATATAAGACCGGGTCTTAATTTCGGGGAAACACGGTACTTCATTACGAAGATATTCAAACTCCAGGATGTAGATTCACGGACCGTTTATTCTTACGCACGGCTGCCTCCTCCGGGTTGCCAGAGTCCAAGCAAAGTCATGATGGCAGCAAATTTCCACAGTCCTCTGGGGCTCCCCCAGATTTTTCTCCACCAAGCTACATCCACCCTACTTTAAGGACCCCCAAACGTTAATGATGTGTAGAGCAAAAACTCAAAAATGCGTTCCCTTTGCTACCTGGATTGCTGTTGACTAGGAAGATGTGGTCCTTCGCAGACATCTCCCTTGGTTTGCTATCTTCTCCAACACCTTGCCTTCTTTCTGTCTAAAAAGAGAGGGGTGGGGTTTTTTTGGGGGGGGGACTACTTCTGGGAGACAGTTCCCAGAATGCACGTGGCTGGCAGGCTTGGAAAAAGCCTCTGCTTCAATCTCGGCAGGTCACGCCGGGCACTGGTAGCTGCAGAAGTCAGCAGACTGGAAGAAGTGGTAGACGTTCACCAAGGGGAACATCAACACAGCTCCGAGCAGAGAGCCCAGTTGTTCCACCGCTCCGTACCAGACTAGGGCGTTGTGGCTGCAGCTGCGAAGGATCATCCCCAGCATCACTTTGACGTAGGTGAGGGCTCCGGTGAAGGACACCCAGGAGATCACCTGTTGATAGAAGGAGAGAAGAGTGCAGGTCAGAAGGCGCCAATTTGAGATCTTGGAAGATCTCCAGAAGTTGTGGGTGCTCCATCACTGGAGACTTTTAAGAAGTGATTGGACAGCCATTTCTCCAGAGTGGTATAGGGCAGGGGGTTCCAACCTTGACCACTTTAGGACTGCTGGACTTCAGCGCCCAGAGTGCCTCAGCCAGCCACGGTCCATGAATAAACGTCCTTGAGTTCGAATGTTGCATGCTGGAAAAGTTGCATCCTGGATCTGAAGTCCACAAGTTGCCAAGGTTGGAAACTGCTGGTATAGGGTCTCCTGCTTGAGCGGGGGGTTGGACTAGAAGACCTCCAAGGTCCCTTCCGACTGTTCTATTCTATTCTATTCTATTCTATTCTATTCTATTCTATTCTATTCTATTCTATTCTATTTTCTATTTTCTATTTTCTATTTTCTATTTTCTATTTCTACCTTCTATTCTCTGTCTATTCTATTCTATTCTCTGTTCTGTTCTATTCTCTGTTCTGTTCTATTCTAATCTAATCTACAATATGTTCTATGGAATAGAATAGTGAATAGAATAGAATAGAATAGAATAGAATAGAATAGAATAGAATTGAATAAAATAGAATAGAATATAGAAATAGAAAATAGAATAGAATAGAATATAGAAATTGAGAATAGAATATAGAAATAGAGAATAGAATAGAATAGAATAGAATAGAATTATAGAATAGAACAGAATGGAATGGAATGGAATAAGGTAGGATAGGATAGAATAAGATATAGAAATAGAGAATAGAATAGAATAGAGTATAGAATAGAATATAGAAATAGAGAATAGAATAGAATAGAATAGAAATAGAATAGAATTATAGAATAGAATAGAATAGAATAGAAATAGCAGATTGTAGAATAGAATTAGAATAGAATAGAATAGAATAGAATAGAATAGAAATTAGAATGGAATGGAATGGAATAGAAAATATGGAATAGAATAGAATAGAATATTAAATATAGAATAGAATAGAATAGAATAACTGAGTTGAAAGGGACCTTAGAGGTCATCAACCCCCTGCCCCAGGCAGGAGACCCTATACTGTTTCAGACAAAGGGCTGTCCGGTCTCTTCTTATCAACTTCCCAGACAAGGGAGCTGCCTACTTACAATCAGGGCATCTCCCCAGTCGGAGTGCTGCAAGAGCGGGCAGGGGCTGAGCACGGCCATCGCCAGGTTGTAGACCCCAAAGGCAGTTCCTGCAACGGTCAGGATCCCCAAGAACAGAAGTGACCTGGAGGAGGCAACGGAGGAGGAGGGGGGTGGGTGGCTTCTTCTGGAGACAGACTCCGAGGTGGCCCAGAGCAAGCCAGCCTCCAAGCCAAGAATTAACAAGGGGAGCAGGTGGAAGAGGTAACCTGGGTTTACATGCCCTGCTAAGCCAGGATTTGGGAAAGGACGATTGGGCTGCTTGTGAACCGTTAAGGAGCTTGAGGGGAAAAAAAACCTGGAATGTTGATATTATGATGGGGGTCCTCGGTGCTCTCTGAGCTGGGTTGTTTTTTCTTGCAGACGTTTCATGACCCCGTTAGGTAATATCATCAGCACTAGAAGGGAGTGGGATTTGCAGAAAGGAGGAGGAGGAGGGGAGGGGAAAAAGCCAGGATTTGGTCTCAGGCATCTTCTGAGCCATTCAGAAGCTTGAGAAAGAAACTGGAACAGATTGACATTAAGGGGTCCGGTTATTTTGCAGACGTTTCATTACCATACTAGATAACATCATCAGTGCTAGAAGTGAGTGGGATTTGCTCTCTGTTTATATACTAGTGGCTTGCCCTGACATCTTTCTCTTGCCCCCTCCTCCTCCTCCTCCTCCTCCTCCTCCTCTCTGCACACCCTCCTCCCTTCTACCACTGTTGATGTTCCCTAGTTGGGTAATGAAATGTCTGCAAGAAAACAACCCAGCTCAGAGACCACCGAGGACCCCAAAGTCGTCCTCTCCCCCCTCCTCCTCCTCCTCGTCCTCGTCCTCCTCCCCACAAGCCCACTCCCTTCTAGCACTGATGATGTTCCCTAGTTGGGTCATGAAATGTCTGCAAGAAAACAACCAAGCTCAGGCAGCACCAAGGACCCTATGATCTTCCTCCACCTCCTCCTCCTCTTCCTCCTCCTCTTCCTCCTCCTCTTCCTCCTCCTCCTCCTCCTATTCTTTCTCCTCTTCCTCTTCGCAAGCACCACTCCCTTCTAGCACTGATGATGTCATCTAAACTGTTCCTGAAACACCGGCAAGAAAACCACACAGCTCAGAGAGCACCAAGGACCCCCTACAGTTGAACCCTGAGCTACAGATGTTCCTTGGTACAATCGGCTTGACCGGGAGCACAGACCTGTTGGGTAGGAAGGTGGCCACGGTGCAAGCCAGGGGGTTGGCCATGGAGCTCAAGGTGGCCGCCAAGTGGTAGGCCAGGTTGCCGTAAGGCAAGCAGGAGTAGCTTTGAACAGAGGGAAGGATGCCGTTGGTCAGCGCGTTGACCCAAGTGACCAGGAAGTAGATGAAGACCAATTTGGAGCAGGTGTACATGACCTTCTCCGCCCCTTTGTCCTCTTCCCTGGCGTCCTCCAGCGTTCTCTCCGTAGAGTAGCTTGGGCTTCCCTTCCAGTTGGCCGGCTCCTCCTTGCCCGCTGGGACCTTGTGGATGGAGTGCAGGGTGATCTCGCTGGAACACAAGTCCCGCGTGGAAAGGTCCCACGACTTGGGCTGTCGGTTGAGGAGGAGGAAGGCCACCAGGCAGAAGAACATCATGGCGGACAGGAAGAGGAAGAAGACCAAGCTGGAGAAGTTGGGCGGGGAGTAGCGTGTCTCCATCAGGGGAGAGTCCCCTGGTCCCGATACGTTGCCCCAGGAAGAGTTGCCCACGCTGGCGTTGAAGGTTGGCGCCGGGACCTGGACGCAACTCGCAATGCCAGCTCCTTGGGCCAAGGCGAAGATAGCGGGGATGAAGCCACTGAGTCCTTCCCCGATGAAGAGGGTGGGGATGTACCGAGGGTGGAAGTGAGCCATGAAGGGCAGGAAGGTGACGGACGAGGTGCAGTCCACCAGGGAGAGGAAGAAGGTAAGGACGAAGAAAGACACGCTGTGCGGTTCTCCGGCGACGGGCGTGGTGTAATGCCAAAGGAAGGCCAGGAGGAAACACGCTAGGATGCCGGTGGAAACCACCACGCAGATGACCGGGACTTCCTTCAGGAAACCAGGTTTCAGTTTGTGCATGACAGTGACGAAGAGAGGTCCAATGTTGGCCAGTTGGATGATGATGGTGAGGTAGGAAGGGAGATACCAGCCTTCCGGCAATTCGGTCACCAGCAGGGGAAGCTCAACCCAAACTCCGTTGATGGCCATCCAGGAACCGGTGCCAAAGACGCAAGCCAGGAGGTGGGTGAGCCAGGCCATCTTGCTTCTGGAGCAGAAGACCTGTTGGAGAAGAGAGGGGGCTTATGTTGTGATTCCTCGCCAGCCAGTCTGAGTCTGAGGAATCGGACGAGGAAGAGGAGGGGCCTGGAATGACATCAGAGTCAGAGGAAGGCTCTGAGGAGCTCCAAGACTTAAAGTCGGACGAGGAGCCTGGCACCTCTACTTGCGCTCAGGCTGAGACACAGCTGTGCTGAGAGCCTGAGTTGGACAGTGATGAAGAACAGCTGGGACAAATCCAGGATGCACGAAAGCACAGGCAAGAGAAGGGAGTAGGATGGAGGGATGCAATGGGGCGGCTCCAAAGGCAAAGGAGAAGGCATTAGGAAGCCACGCCTGGGCTGCATTATAAAAGGGAAGGTATGGGAGGTGCTGGTGGCCAAAGGCAGCCGTTCGTGTTGAGGATTGAGTTTCTGTGGACTGTTTGCCTTGGACATTGACTCAGGTCTGTGAATAATAAAAGGGATGGGTTTTTTCTTGCGGTTCCTGCCTGTTTTTTGGAAGAGGGGTTTCTCCTTGTGAGCATAACAAGGACTCACGTAGGCTGGGACAGAACAGGAAGCAAGAAGACTTGAGCTGAGGGGTTACACCAGTGCTTCTCAACCTCTGCCACTTTAAGATGTTTGGACTTCAACTCCCAGAATTCCCCAGCCAGCCATGACTTGCCTGAAGCTAATACAGGCCTGGGTTGTATAAACAGAGGCATAGAATCAAGATCACGCGAGGTATTAGTACCGCTTTATAAAACCCTAGTGAGGCTACACCTGGAACACTGCAGCTAGTTTGGGTCACCACATCACAAAAAAGATGTTCAGACTTTGGAAAAAGTTCAGAGAAGAGCAACTAAGATGATCCAAGGCCTGGAGACTAAAACATACGAGGAACGGCTGCAGGACTTGGGTTTGGTTGGTCTAAAGCAGACATGTGAAACACAAGGCCCGGGGGCCGGATGCAGCCCGTGAAGTGGTTTCATGTGGCCCGCGAAGCCATCCTGGAAACAGTGAGGGAACGGCCCCCGCTGCCTTGGCCCTGGCCCAGGCTGGCTGGGAGCCAATGAACAATTTTGTGGTGGCCATCTATGCTGAAACGCATTCAGTCTTAGCTCCACAAGGCCGTCTGGAAACAGCGAGGAACCAGCCCCTGCCATGTTGCCCCTGCTCCCTGGGTGCATGCTGGGAAGGTGTCACTCTTTGTGAGGAATGAAGAAATGCACCATCGCCTGGAAGTGGCCAGCAAATGGCCCTCGCCTACTTCACATATCCGGCTTGATGGGCTCTGGGGGAGGGGGTTCGGCAGGCTCCTCCAGTGGACCATGCCTTGGCGCTTGCCCCGGTCCCACCCCCTTCTGCCAGAGACCCCCAGATCTGTCCCACTCCTGCCCAGGCCCCCAACAGGCACCCTTGACGCGAACGATGTAGAGCTGGCCATGCCCACCCAGTAGGCCACACTCCACCCATGCCCACCCAGTAGGCCGCGCCCACCCTGGCCACACCTACCTGCCCCCCCCAGGACAACCGCAATGCTGATGCGGCCCTCAATGAAATTGAGTTTGACACCCCTGCTCTAAAGAAAAGAAGAAATAGGGGAGACATGATAGCAGTGTTCCAGTATGTGAGGGACTGCCACAAGGAACAGGGGGTCACATTATTCTCCAGAGCACCAGAGGGAAGGACGAGAAACAATGGTTGGACAATGATCAAAGAGAGAAGCAACCTGGAATTAAGGAGAAACTTCCTGACAGTGAGCACAATTAACCAGTGGAACAGCTTGTCACCAGAAATTGTGGGCGCTTCATCACTGGAGGTTTTTAAGAAGAGACTAGAGAGTCACTTGTCTGAAATGGTATAGGTTCTCCTGTAGAATAGAATAGAATAGAATAGAATAGAATAGAATAGAATAGAATAGAATAGAATAGAATAGAATAGGAGCTGGAAGGGACCTTGGAGGTCTTCTAGTCCAGTCCACTGCTTGAGCAGGAGAACCTAGACCATCTCAGACAAGTGACTGTCTAGTCTCTTCTTAAAAACCTCCAGTGATGGAGCGCCCACGATTTCTGGTGGCAAGCTGTTCCACTGGTTAATTGTCCTCCCTGTTAGGAAGTTTCTCCTTAATTCCAGGTTGCTTCTCTCCTTGATCCGTTTCCAACCGTTGTTTCTCATCCTTCCCTCTGGTGCTCTGGAGAATAACGTGGCACCCACCGCCCTCTTGTTTGCGGCAGCCCCTCAAATACTGGAACACCGCTATCAAATACAGTTTGAAAAACTCTGCGCTGTCCCTTTAAGAAAAACTCTGCCCCGTCCGCTCCTCTCTAGCTTGTCTGTAAACAATGAAAGAATCCAGGGATTCAATCCCTGCCCACCTGGGTACCTTTTCTACCTGGTAGGGCTTGGTAAGGGTGGGGTGGGGGGGGAGAAAGGTTAAGCAGCCCCTCCCAAGTTCCTGGACCCTGGAGGTGCACAACTGTAGCAAAACTGGAAGGGCTCTTTCTCCCAAAACAGGTGGACGAGTTCCATTTAGCGTCGAAAACCGGCCTGGGCAGAAAGCGAGGACTCGTGAAACATACCTTCAGTTTTGCAAGCACCTTCCCCAGGTGAGCAACTGTCCCTTTGTGGCTTCCCTAGCAAGCAGGCTGCGGTTGGGCTTTCCACGGCTTCCTGCAGTCACGTCTCCAAGCCGGCTGACGGTAAGCCAGGTTCAGCTGGAATCTAGCCAGCTTTGATGGTTTCCTTTACTCGGGCGCCTGTGTATAGGTGGTACCGCCTTGAAATTAGAGCCGGAGATCCGCTGTTGGTTAACAAAAAAAAAAAAAAAGGAAAGGAAAGACAGGCGTAGGCAGAAGGGCACCAAACTGGCTGGTCGGGATTTTTAAGGCACTGATTGTGGTTAGTGGCTGGGCGGTGTGGAGAGCGGGATGTCGTCCCTGCCCTGGGACTGTTGCAACTTCAAGGCCTGGCAGGGAACAGCTTGGCCAAGATATTGTGAGAAAGGGAAGGGGGGTTGTTAGATTTCCTTTCCTTTCCTTTCTTTTCCCTTCCTTTTTCTTTCTTTTCTCCTTTCCTTTTTTTTCTTTTCCCTTCCTTTCCTTTCCTTTCCTTTCCTTTTTCCTTTCCTTTCTTTTCTCCTTTCCTTTTTCCTTTCCTTTCCTTTCCTTTCCTTCTGTTTTCCTTTTCTTTCCTTTCATATTCTTTCCTTTCCTTGTTTTCCTTTCCTTTCCTTCTGTTTTCCTTCCCTTCCCTTCCCTTCCCTTCCCCTATTCCTTCCCCTTTTCCCTTCCTTTCCTTTCTCCTTTCCTTTCTCCTTTCCTTTCCTTTCCTTTCCTTCTGTTTTTCTTTTCTTTCCTTTCCTTTCCTTTCTTCCTTTCCCTTCTCCTTTCCTTCCCTTCCCTTTCCTTTTCTTCTGTTTTCCTTTTCTTTCCTTTCATATTCTTTCCTTTCCTTCTTTTTTTCTTCCCTTCCCTTCCCTTCCCTTCCCTTTCCTTTCCTTTTTCCTTTCCTTTCCCTTTTCTTTTTCCTTTCCTTTCCTTTCCCTTCCCTTCCCTTCCCTCCTCTCCTTTCCTTTCCTTTCCTTTCCTTTCCCTTCCTTTCCTTTCCTTTCCTTTCCTTCCCTTTCCCTTCCCTTCCCTTCCCTTCCCTCCTCTCCTCTCCTCTCCTTTCCTTTCCTTTGCTTTCCTTTCCTTCCCTTTCCCTCTCCCCTTTCCCTTTCTCCCCTTCTCTCCCTTTCTCTGCCCAGGAAGTAAGTGGCTGTTTCCGAATGGGATGACAGAGCAAGGGACTGCGTGACTGGCTTGGAAACTGTCAGAAAACATTGAAAATGCCCCTCGTGTGACAGCAGCCGCCACCCAGCAGCAGCAGTGAATAGCACCGAAGGAGCCAAAGCTTTCCCAAATTTCATTCCCTCAGGAATCATGGGTCCCCGATTTTGGACACACATTCGGTAAGTTAGCTCATTTGAGGTACCTGGGTTCAAATACTGTTCCCCTACGATGCACCGTTTCACCCAATGAAAGTCACAACAACGACAGTTTTTAGTCCTATAGAGATAACCATTCCTTAAAGCGGTACCGGAACCTTCCAGTGCACCTCACAAAATAGTGCCGTTACACAAGTGTGTTTGGCAATCAAAGCTCCTTTCTTTCCTTCTCTGGACCTTGGTGGTATCCAACGAACACAATCACCACCCCCCCAAAAAAAGCTACAATACAGGCAGTCCTCAACTTACGACCGCAACCAAGCCTAACGTTTCTGTCGTTAACCGAAACATTCGTTAAGTGAATTTTGCCCTGTTTCACGATCTTTCTCGCCCGGGATGCGAAGTGCAGTTGTTCACTTTGCTTGTCAGAAGGTCGCCAAAGGGGAGCCCTGGAGGACCGCAACCGTCATAAATACGAGTCAGTTGCCGAGCGTCTGACTTTTGATCACACGAGCGTGCTTCAAAGGTTGTAAGTGTGAAAAATGGCCGTAAGTCCCGTTTTTCAGTGCCAGTTGTGACTTCCAACAGTCCCTAACCGAATGGTTGTAAGTTGAGGACTGCTTGTATAGAAATATTAAATCCCAGCTTGTCCTAGTAGGAGATTTCTAATAATAATAATAATAATAATAATAATAATAATAATAATAATAATAATAATAATAATAATAATAATAATAA